CCCTTTGCTTGTTCTGTCGCCATAACAACTTCTACTTCACTTCAACCACTTTCCGGTTGCCTGTTACCTCAAATCTAGACGCGTCTGTTGATCCGTCACTGTATCTATCTGCCCCGACTACTATAAGTGGTCTACAACCCAGACAGGCGGTATAAGCAGTGCTTCCGACCTGTCGTGTTTACACTCCCACCCTCCGGCGTGTCCACGGATCTCCGCTCCAGATACGCTGTTCTCTCCGTTCATCCGGCACGGCCGTTGTATCTAAACTTCTTGCTACACCTGTTCCTCGACATTTGTAGCACTGGAACCTACTGTAACTCCCCCTCCTGGAGCATCACTTACCCGCTATTCTATGACTCCTACTGATAAGCGTTGCTCGACCCTAGACCATAACTCCACGGGATTCCTCCGGCAGTGAATCCATACTACCCTTGCGAGTGTCGTTGCCGGTCGACCACACCGTCAGAACCTCCGTTCTCAGCCCGGATCCAGGGTTCTGAGAGCGGCTGTCCCAACTGAGCTCATATTGCCTCTGAGAGGCAATCCCTTTGAATGCCACCGGCAGCTTCGGACGATTTGTTTCGCCAGCAGAGCCGGTCCTTAGGTGACACCAGCCCCTCTCCTGAAGATCCCAGCCGAGCCACCTTGGAGCATGATCTCGGTGGAAAGACCAAGAAAAAGGGGAAAACCGGAACCAAGGGGAAGAATAAAGCAGCCAAAGCAGTTCCGAAGTCTACACCTGACGACCTGTAAGTCTGAACCCCTTCCACGTGTCTAGAAGGATCTTGGCTCTATGTGGACAGTTGGCTGACTTGGGTCGACGCGTCGTATGCAGTCTAGAAGTAGAAGCACCGTCACCGTCACCGCCTCTGCAGGCTGAACCATCGTCCTGCCCCAATCCAACATTGGAGCCGCCACCTAGCAACAATATCGTGTCACCGGTGCTTGATGCCCTTGGCACTCTGGGGGATTCTCCGGAGAATGACATTGCTTACCGCACCGGTACATGGGCCAAGTCCATCCCGTATGGCAAGAGTCCCCCGAATGATGCCGTTGATGGCGAATTCAACAGCGGATCTCCTTTCGGTTTCCTCACTAGTCAAGACAAAGGCGGATTCAGCCACCCCTCTTCGACGTCTCCCCCTCCGGGAGCGAGGCCCTTGAGCTATGGGCGGGGTTACGCTACCAGCAGTGTGTCTAGACAGCACTCCGTGGACCGACAAAAGAGCAACTCCGTCAGTAGTCCCTTCAATAACCAGGTACCCCTGCCGCATCTGCCGCAGGCCCATTTCTATGGAGCGCCGGATATCGATTTGCCTCTGTTCTCTGGCCAGAATAGGGCCGCAACGGACGGCAGTTATTCATTCTGTGCGTTCGATACGATCATCAGCCCTTCATCCAAAGCCTCCAGAATGGGGAGTAGCGTTCTCCTGGTCGGTACGGATGGCAACTTGGATGTTCTTGCCATTGAAGATCGAAAAACACGTCCTGTAGGCAAATTGGCAGGTCTCAATGGCCGCGTAATCGAAGCAAAGTTGCTGAGCAACACTTCAACTAATGACCAACCTCATGTCGCTGTCATCATTCACGGCCCCACTACTCAACCAGATGATGAGGGTCATGCATCTTCAAATAGCTCGGAAGCAAACGACATTCCCACTGGGAGACAGTCGGCTGCCGGAGGGCGTCCGAAAGAAGAGACCAGATACTATCAGACACGGGTCGAGGTGTATTCTTTGAGGACGGGAGAACACATCACCACGCTTCTGTCCACGCCGCCCACTCCATGCTTTGGCAATATACCTGGTCTTCCAGCCTTGGCTCCTTCACCGGCCGGGAATCTGAAGCTCTTGGTGAGCGGAAGCTACGTTGTCGTAGCGTCAGGTTCCAGTGGGGAAGTCTACATGTACAGCATGAGCAAATATCAGTTCTTAGGAAAAGCATGGACCAGTATCAAGTCGAAAGAATCTCGGCGATACTCCACGTCTTCTAGCTCCACCGACCCAGATGGATCTCAGTCTGATTCTCCTCATGGATCTCTCAACTCTGACAGCCCTATCGTGGCATTGAAGGGGAGGTGGCTAGCTATTGTCCCACCATCCGCAACTTACAGGGCTACTCTCCGTGCGGTCGTGCCGACGTCCTTGTTGCAAGGAAAGGCCTTCGGGCTTGAGACTCGAAGTCCTCCGTCGCGTCCAGCTATAACCTGCGCTACTGATGTCGGAGAAGGCGAAAGCTTTTTCGGCAAAGTAGCCCGGGGTGTTACGCAGGAGCTCATGCGAGGTGCACGCTGGATGGGTGATCAGGGACTACAAGCATGGAATAATTACTGGAATAAGGAGCAGGCTCAAAGCATGCCAGCCCGCCGGTCTCCTAATTTGACGGAGTTCTCACCTCAGGGGTACAATCTCTTTCCTCCCACTCATGCCCAGGACACCCAGTCTGTGTCCACTACCGAACCTGATTTGGTATCAATCTTCGATCTGCGAAAGCTAGACGAGGGCGAAGCCAAGAGCTCTTTGTTCAATCCAGTGGCCACTTTCCAGGTACCGAATGGCTGCAGCTTCCTTTCATTTTCGCCCAACGGCCTCATGCTATTTACTGCGAGTAAAAAAGGAGACGTCCAGTATGTTTGGGATGTTATGCAGGCCAAATACTGTCGAGCCGGGGCTTTCCTCTCGGATGACCCAGCATCTGTGCAGCCGAGCGTGCGGCAAGTTGCCCGGTACCCGCGATTGACCACATCCCATATAGTTGACGTGGTTTGGTGTCCGCCTTCTGGAGACAAGCTCGCAGTGATTACGGGTAAACCGACGGTGCATGTCTTTGATCTGCCTCGGAGCGCCTTCCAATGGCCTCCTTTTCGACGGTCGCTACCAAAGCCTGCGAAACCGCCTACTGCTGATGCTCCGGCAGAAGAGCTTCCCGACCGGGGGCCGGCTGCAAATCCATTGTCGGCGGCCTTCAAGATGGTCGGCGGTAAGACACAGCCCATTCTTGCTGCAGTCAGGGGGCGTACTCCCTCCACCGGAGCTGCTTTCCCCTCCGTGGGTGGTTTTGCAATGCCTTCTGCAGCTGGAGTGAGAGGAGGCAAGGCGGTTGCTGCTGGTCTTAGTAAATCAATGGGAGCCGCCGCCACCGGCACTGTCAAAACGGTCAACACCATCCGACATGGTGGTGAACACCGCCTGCACCTTTCCAATCTGTCTCGGGACCCCGTCGCGGCTCGTGTGACGTGGATCATCCATAAAGGAATGCCATTCTTGGGCCTGATAGATGGGGGTTACTTCCGTCTGTACAGAATTAAACGTTCCACCTCGCCCAGTAAGAGCAGGCAGGTGCAGTCGGTGATCGGAAACAAAGAACTTGAGTTCCGCTTGCCTCCCCATATGCAGACACCTTGCGGTCCCATGACCGTGGGTCCCGCCGCCACCACAGAAACAACGGTCTCTGCAACGTTGGCTCTGCCATCCGCGGCTCTACGACCGCCGCCAGCGTCGAAGCTCAAATGCCAGCCTCTTTCGCAGGCAGAGATCGAGACAAACACACCATATCAACCCTTCCACACCGACCAGAGGGTAAACCTCTTCGTGTACAGTGAGGCAGACGACTCCGTGGGTTCAGTCCCGACGGGTCAATGGACCTTCGGCGGCTCTCTAGCCACAACGAAGCTTCACGTACGACCATTCAGCGCCTCCAGTGAAGAAGACGATGATTTGGTACATGAACAACACCATGGTTTTGGAGCTGAAATGGAGAATCTAATCAGCCTGGGAAATAGTACGGGAAATGTGGAAGAGGTGGTCATTACCACACGCAGAAAGAAGAAGCAGGCTTCAGCCATGGCCCTCGGTGGCGGGGTCGATGACGGTTTCTTTGAAGATGACTGCGAGGTTTTGGACTTCGCTCGGGACCGAGTCTAATTGCGATAACCACAATTACCATGCCGCTGGCGGGGCTCTATAAGATTTGAACTAATATGTCACATTCTAGACTTACATTGGTATGGCGTTGGTGCGATTGGGATTTAGGCTCGCTCATTTCCGCTCTTGCTTTGGTTGTGACTCCATACGAACCTCTTTCTGGCATGCATTACTGCTTCGCATGATTTGTGGCTTGACGCAATATGTCCGAGTGTCTCATGCCAAAGGATTTTCAACATGCATCTAGGCGCCTCCTAGTCAAAGCAGAGACAGAGGCGAAGATATCGTCATTTCGTTCTGCACGTCAGAGGTCAATGACATTGGGAATTTTCTCTTCCTCACATCGGCACTATTTGACTGCACTCGCTATCTGTTGTCCTGATGCCAACTTTGTGTTCGCTGCGTACATGTCGGATATGCGCTCACTCGTTCTCTTTCTGCCCGCACCGCTCTATTTCGATGCATATTTCCGTGGCCATTCGATGTTCAATTGATGTTACATACCCAGTGCTGTTCTGTGAGCCAGATAGATGAAACCGTGCGGGCGTTAATCGTAAAGTACATAAATATATATAGGTGAATAGACATGTGCTTGAGTGATAGATATGATGAACGCAGTTTACATGAACTATAAAAAGTTATCGGAATATTTGCTACTAACTGGTGACTTAAGAAACCTTCTATTGGATTTATAGCCATCCTACCAAATTCAACTCCTATCACTTCAATAGCTACCAAGGATATAATACACCATATCGATCCTTAATCACCAACAACAAAACAAAATAATAGATCTGCAGTGCACGATGATCATCAACAGTCACTACCGAACCCGAGCCCGAGACCCACCGAGGGGTGAGGAATATCAGTGGGTATGCGGGGTTTGAGTACTTGACACACCATATATCAAGTACTATCACGATAATTAATACCGCGTAGAGTTACTACGTACAGAAGGTGATTTATGTATGGATCTGATAGACTTGGATAACTAGGCTCAGCATTGCTTGTAGCTACAGAGTCGCTACTATATGGGGTTTATTGCGAACTGGGGAAATACTATAGTATAAGGGAGCTGTCAAAATGATTGGGTTTCTCGGAAGAAGAAGCGGTCATGTGAGTGGTTTTTGAATTAAGATAGGTAAATTGCAGGAGTACCAGTAGAATAGAATACATGAGCACTACGTAGTAGTAAAATAAATCTGGTATGAATGATAAAAGGGACAAGTGATCAATCAATTTCGGATGGGCCAGTAGGTATACAGATTCAAGAAAATTATCAAGCAAAAGCAAAGCAAATAGTAATCATTCAAGTTAATTATTGACCCACGAGAGTAAAAGTAATTTAAACAGGTAGTGTTAGTAGTGACAAGTTCCCATATTAGCTACTTTCCCGTAATTAATCAATCAATCAATCATATTAACACAAAGCGCTGGATTAAGTGTGCAAGTAGACAGATAGCTTTCCTCCTCACTTTCCCCCTTCATACTGTAATCATCGATCAAGGCATAGCGTCTCAGCTCATTTACAGAGCCCAAGCAGCCAAGACGAAGCCAAGAACACCGGCTGCGGAAACGCCCAGCTTGAGCTGCGTGATAGCAGCGGCGTTCTCGGTGCTGCTGGCATGAGCACCAGTCGCGGTGCTAGTTCCGGAGGAGCCAGACTTGGAGTCGGAGCCTGTTGTTGAAGAAGATGGTTAGTCAAGAAGTAGAGATGTATGGGAAGGTTGAAGGTGGACGTACCAGAGCCGGTCGACGAAGAGGAGCTTCCGCTCTTGGTGGTGCTGGCGTCGTTGGAGCCGGCAGTGGTAGCGGAAGAGCCCGACGCTCCCGTGGCACTGGCCGGGAAGAAGTAGCTGCTGTAGCAGCTGCTCTGGCAACTGGCGTAGGATTTCTGGTCGCTGGGGGAGCCGGAACCCTGGGGGCAGGCGGCAACGCAGCTGGTGGTGTCGTTGGCTTGGGCGTTGTCGGGGCAGGGAACGCTGTAGCAGTTGGCGATGCAGCAGATCTCGGTTTCAGCGCCTGAAGATTGTTAGCTGGATTGCTCTTGGTAGACTTCTTTGTTGTGGTAGGTGGATGGAGTGTAGAAGACGCGAGTGATTGGGGTTTGCGGACGGGATTGGGGAAATGATCCAGGATGCAGAAATGGTGTGGGTATTATAGCATTGGAGAGGAGAAAGGAACTTACACTTGGCAGCGCAGGAAGCCTGAGGAGACAAGCTAGCAGTGGTCGTCGCGGCACTGGTAGTGGAGGAAGAGTCCTGGGCGACGGCCAGAGCCAGGAGGGAGGAGAGAGCGATAGCGCTGTTGAACTTCATCTTGACGCATGGATCGAGGAAACGAAAGACGTTTGAGATTGACTGAAGTGTAGAAGTAAGTAGCGAAACGAGCGCGACAGAGTAGCACGAAATGAAGGACTGTAAGGGAGGAAAGGAAGAAGAGGAAGAAAGAAAAGGAAGAGGGGGAAGGGCAGACGAGGTTATGAAAGGGAAAAAAGACGGGCTGTAAATAACGGGCCAAGGATGGCGAGGCGAAAACAATGGACCGGGGGAAAGTTGCCCAAGCGTATCAGGCGATATGCTGGGATTCACCGCGCCTGGCACCAAATTAGGGTCATCCAGCTGTCGGTTCGCCAGTTGCGATTAGCGGGGTTTCAGCAAGCCGTCAGAGTCGCACAAGCTAGTGCGCTGGATTCCTCAAGAAGCGTCTGGATAAGTGGATTCACTGGGCCGGAGCTAGTAGTCCACACCCTTACATTTGGTGGCAACTCAATAACATCGGGAAGAGGCATTTACATTTTACAGGGTGGATGTGGACTTGTGGAGGCGCCATTCGTGGAGTTGGCATGATTTTTAGTTTGAAGCAGGTGCCTACGAGAGATGGTGGAGAGAGAGAACAGCGCGAAGCACAGTCCAGGTTTTGGACCCAGTCCTTCAATTTGGTGGTCAAGGACGAGCCAAAGTGGTGAAGAGTGAGCAGCCAGTCAACAATCACAGACCCTGAAAATCTGGGGACTGCAAAGGATCGGCTAAAAATAACCCTAGACATAAGAGGGAATCCAAGGGTCATTTCAAGGCACTAATAGCGCTACTCCAACGCTAAACCGGTTGCTGCTAAGCTAGTAAGAGCTAGACTGTCTCCCACTAATTCCATATTAGTCCGTCACTGTCCACCATTCGGTCTTATCAGTGGATGGGGTTGAGACAGCGCATCCGAAGAGGTGGAGAGCACCCGGTCATTGGTGGGCTGATCTGTCAGAAAGTGTCATGCGAACACACTGGAATGCACTAGATATCAGGGTAAAGAGGGTGGTTGGAGACTTTTGGCAAGTCTTGTAGGCACCACGGTCATGAATAGGGGCCGGACTATCAAGGGATTTATTCTGTCAGATTCATCGACACTGGAATTGCTTTTTCAGGCCTAGTGTGCCTCGGGCAGATCCGACATGCCTGTCCTGGCGAATCATTCTTTATCCGCTCAATAATAACTACAGTACAGCAACAAAAGTTGTGGATGGAAAGGATCCGGAAGACTTTCATCCTGTCCATCACACGTGGCCATCCTCAGCATTCTTAGAGGGTTTCGAGGCTCAATTATTGACAGTCTGGAAACCTTGCCCGAGTTGGAGATTCTCATCAATGTCATCCCTACTCAATGATCGACTAATGGGCTTTATTCTAACAACTATTATACTGACGCTATTCCTTTAGCATGTGCTGCCCCTTTTATACAAAAGCAAATACGCAGTTACACCTGAATTATGGACATCCTCTGAAAAGCCTGAACTTTGAGACTAACTTCGAGGCTGAAGTCATTCACCATCTTGTTGACTCGCTATTGTACTTCAGATAGTGCTAACAGTTCTATGTTGGATGGCGACAATAAGGGTCACCAGTAACTATCAATCAAGCTCACAGTTAGTATTGAGTCCTGACACGAATTATGAATGGGAGCCATCGGGGGGCATGACACCAACAGTCTGCTATTGAACTCGGCTTCAATAGAGTTTAATTGATCTTTGAGCTCGCAGTAAAAAGTCAATAGCTCTTACAAATTTTGTCGGCGCTGTTTTACCATCATTGCAACTCAAATAACCCGGCACATTTCATTCTCCGCGGGAGGACACAGAGTGGAGAAGCCTCGGACTTTAGAGATAGTTGGTCGTTAGTCACAATAGTTGGTGAATGGGGCATCGCTAGCTAAAATGGTTTTGCAGAGCAACTGGAGGGAAAGACAGCCTAGCTGAGAGTGTACATAGATATTTGGAGACTTTCTTCGCCGGTATAGTGCCACGTGCTTGAGAGGCCTTCTAGTAAACATCTTGTTACCAATGTCCCTGTAAGAACGTCACCCCCAGGCCTTCCGCATCCTACAAAGAGCACCTAAAGCCAACTGGAGTATGTCGAGGCCAAGAAAATCCCGGCCGATTTGAAACTCGCGAGGTTTCACTTTAAGCGTTCCTCAATCGGGTAATCAGCTTGCTGTATATGCAGTGTGCCTATCTGGCAAGGTAAGTGCAGGTTGCAGACTGTAAAGACCGACTGAATACTAGGTTGCTTTTTCTATTCTCCAGTAGCTGGCTCTATGGGATGCATGTCTACCCCTATTTACTCCTTTGATTTCATGAAGCTTTAATTGCCGGCGGTTCTTTGTCATATTGCCCGCAAGAATGTGGAACCGATTAGAGTTCCTTTCAGCAAGTAAGATGAAGTCTAGGCATTATCTTCTCGTTAAATTAGTGCTATACTCTTCTTTGAAACTTTCAGCTCGAGATCGACTTATGCTATGTCACCACAGCGCGATATGAGGGGTCATTGAGTAATATTGTCCATCGGTATGGCTTGTTATGATGTCATAGTCATCGCATTTCCAGTAATGCGAGAGTAATATCTGATTCGACTTCCCCAATAGTCTCCATATCAATGTATAATTTCTTTCTGAGCCAATGTGTAAACTGATTCTACCCAGATCTAGATCAGGACTAGTTAGTATCCTTATCAAAGCGGACTAGACCGCTTACTCACTACTTATGTAAGCTTCTTTATCGATAAGACATGTGATTGCTCTCAACGCGTCGCGTCCAAGCACGGGGTTTTATCCTACGATGCACCTCGGGTTCGCTATGTTCAGCCTTGATGGTAGCTCCTCTGACTATTTCGACGATGATCTGGGCGACTTGGGCGTCGACCGGCCTTCAAATGCGGCAGACTCGACTGATCCTGACACTCCCCGACCAGCCAAGCGCCGTCGTCTGAAAGCTAGTAAAGATACCCCAAACGCGGAATTGCAATCGCATCAAAAGTCTCGTGCAGAGCGTCGCGATGGGGCTAGGACAGCGCTAAGCTCAGACTCGTTTATCGACTATGATGACGACGAAGTGCCCTCTCCCGAACGAGAGTCACCCTACTTCCAAGACGATAGTGAACGAGAGGCACGGTCCAAATACAAAGTCTTCGCCCCCAAGAACGCAAACATCCAGGAGAATATCTTTGTGACGCAGCTAACGCAACCTCCCTCTCCGCCGGAAATGCTTCGTGGTCCCCGGTGGAAGAAGCCTGATCCTGACTTGCCTTCCCGAACTGCTGCCACCCCACTGCCAGTAAAAACTCAAACCAGAGATTCCGCTACTGATCTCGATGGATATGATGAGTATGACGATGATGAAGAGATGAAAGCAGCGATTGAGGCATCGTTGCAATCGTTCGGGGAGGAAACATCAAGACCAGCTCCCTCCGTGCCCTTGCAGAAGCCCGCGCGCCCATCGGCTCCTCCCATTGTTGGACAGCAAAACGCTACCGTCGCGGCCTCCAATGATCTTTTGGACGATATACCTGATGATGCCTTTGACTCAGACCTGTCAATGTCACCACCTCCTGCGCCTCAGCCTCGCCCTGCGGCTCAGTCATTCACACAGTCAACGAATCGCCCATTAGGTGTTCGCCAAACCACGCTATTTGGTATGGTTGCCAGACACCCAGAAAATCAGCCACCGCGCGGTGAACAGGTGTACTCTCCGCCTGAGAAGAGCGAGCCACCTACTCAGCATAAACTCAACCAGGAAGCCTTGGGTACGTGGGTTTATCCTACGAATCTGGGTAAAACTCGAGATTATCAGTTCAATATTGCGCAGAAAGGCCTTTTCCATAATTTGCTCGTAGCTCTACCTACGGGTCTCGGAAAAACATTCATTGCAGCTACTATTATGCTCAACTGGTTTCGGTGGACCAAAGATGCTCAGATTGTCTTTGTTGCACCCACAAAACCGCTAGTTGCTCAGCAGATTTCTGCATGCTTCGAAGTCGCTGGGATCCCTAGATCCCAGACCACTATGCTCACGGGAGAGGCTGCTCCGGGAATCCGAGCCGAAGAATGGAAGGCAAAACGCGTATTCTTCATGACGCCTCAAACTTTGATCAACGACCTTAAAACCGGGATTGCTGACCCGAAGCGAATCGTTCTGGTCGTTGTCGATGAAGCCCATCGTGCAACCGGTGGCTATGCATATGTTGAAGTTGTCAAGTTCCTGCGGCGGTACAACCAGAGTTTCCGTGTCCTGGCTTTGACAGCTACGCCAGGCTCAACAGTGGAATCTGTACAGGCCGTCATTGATGGACTGGATATATCGAGAGTTGAGATACGGACAGAGCAGTCACTCGATATTAGAGAGTATGTCCACTCTAAAGACACGGATGTGCAGACATTCCAGAATTCAGAGGAGATGGTCCTCTGCATGGACCTGATGTCGAAAGCTCTACAGCCACTTCTTGATCAATTACGGAGCACAAATGCCTATTGGGGGCGTGACCCCATGGGTCTCACAGCATACGGACTCACCAAAGCCAGACAACAATGGATGCTATCCGATTCCGGCAGAAACGCCCATTTCGGCGTCAAGGCCAAAATGAATGCAATCTTCACGGTTCTAGCCAGTTTGGCTCATGGTATCGATCTTCTCAAATACCATGGGATAACACCATTTTACCGTCATCTTTTGCACTTCCAATCCAACACCGAGGGACAACAGGGTGGCAAGTACCAGCGGCAAGTCGTTCAGGACAAGAGCTACAAGAAGCTTATGAACCATCTGCAGCCGTGGACGAAGAATCCAGAGTTTATTGGACACCCCAAATTGGAGTATCTGAAGCAGGTGGTGTTGAATCATTTCATGGACGCTGGTGAAGGCTCTGGTGCAGACGAAAACAAGGATCAACCAGCCACTCGCGTGATGATATTCGTACACTTCCGTGATAGCGCAGAAGAAGTCACGAGAGTACTCAAAAGATACGAGCCCATGATTCGGCCCCATGTCTTCGTCGGGCAGAGTAGCGCGAAGGGCTCGGAAGGAATGGGTCAGAAAACGCAACTCGACATTGTGCAGAAGTTCAAGAAGGGAACCTACAACACAATTGTTGCGACTTCCATCGGTGAGGAAGGTTTGGATATCGGTGAAGTGGACCTTATCGTGTGTTACGACTCTTCAGCTTCACCTATTCGTATGCTCCAGCGCATGGGACGTACCGGTCGGAAGAGGGCAGGAAAGATTACGCTCTTACTCATGCAAGGCAAGGAAGAGGAGTCTTACATAAAGGCTAAGGACAATTACGAAAAGATGCAGCAAATGATAGCGAGTGGCACCCGGTTCACTTTTCACGATGATATGTCTCCGCGGATCCTGCCTCCGGGTGTGCGGCCTGTTGCTGATAAACGAGCCATCGAGATTCCCGAGGAGAATACTGTGCGAGATCTTCCAGAGCCGAAACGGCGAGGCCGGGCACCGAAGAGGCCGCCAAAGAAGTTCCATATGCCTGATAATGTCGAGACCGGATTCACAACGGCATCGAACTTGGCTGGGACCTCTAAGCGCAAAGCACCGAATAGAAGTAAGGCTCGCACGCCGACTCCAGAGCCCGTAGAATTGCCGGCGCTTGAAGATGTTCTGCTTACCCCCGCGCAGCAAAAAGAACTTGAACTCCTCTACAGCAACGCTGGGCCCAGTGAAGAGCTTCTGGTCAGTTATCCCAGAAGCGACGCCTTCCCACGCCTTCAGCTCGCGCCTAGACCTACGAAAGCGGTTAGACACGGGTCATTGACTCGTCGCATGATTCAAACGTTGCAAAAGATGAACCAGATTACTCCAAACTATGGGGATCGTTATAAGGAAATCATAGCACATGAGGCGGCCTCCAGGCCGGAGGCCTCGATAGTAGCGCCGAAGTCCAATGGCCATGGGGAGGTTCACTCGAGGACCAAAGCTAGACGCACATCCAAGGTGCTATCATCCAAGCCAAAGGATCATGAAGAGCGAGATGTGTCTGAAGTACAACGAACCCCACCGGCCAAGCACTCGGTATCAGCGACCAACGCTGAAGTGGAACTGTTCTATTGCTCGCAAAGGACCCAAGACGGAGATACAGATGATGACTTTGATCTTCCAGATGTCTCTACTCTTTTGGATAGGAGTGTGGAAAGGCCCCCGAAACGGGGCCGGTTTGTTCTGGATGATAGCGATGACTGATTTGGACATGAACGCATAGCTTGGTTACATTCTGCATTGGTGATACTTTCGGTTGCATATACCCTTGAGCAATATACTTAGAAGAGTACGGTGGAGTTATTTCTTGATGCCATACAAAACCCCGCACGTAGACACACTCTCGAACACCATAAAAAGCTATTTCAAAGTGGACGGGCTGTAAGTAACCGAGACCCAACGCAGGAAACCAGTTCGATTTCTTCAATCTCTAAGTGTATATATCATGTGTAAGATCTTATTCAAAGAAGCGCCCCGAAACTCAATCATAACATCTCGTCTAAACCGAAAGTCACTGAACAAGTACACATAGTCATACACCAATCCGACACCTAGTAGTATAAATTATAACCCCTCCTCATGCTGAACATGAACCAAAACCCCGATATCAACTCATCTCACAGGCATAGTGCCACCATAGTCCCCCCTCCAATCAAGCGAAGCATTTAACCACCTCACTTACCCACATAATCAAACTTCTTCGTCGAATGGTTATAAACATACGCATACTCAGCTACATCAAACCCCCAGTCCCCAATGACCTTGGTATTCGCACTACACACATTCCCGGGCTTCTTATCGGTGAAAGCCTGGCAGTATGGCCTGTCCAGCGTCAGCATCATTTACTCTCAAGAAGCCACAAAAGAGAAAAATATCAGAGAAAGAGGGATTGATACATACCCAACCTTCGCACTCTTCCCACTCTTCACCTTAAACCCCGTAATCTCAAACCAACTCCCATCCGACATGTTATTCTTGGCATCATACGACTTGACCTTATTCTTCTGGTAGAAGCTCCGTAGAGAACGCTTTTGTTCGTCCTGCGAGTTGATGGTCACGCCTACGAGGATGGCGCTGCATCACAGTAATCATTGAATATATCGTTAGCTTTCTTTCCCCACATAGACCCTCCATATAGAGATAGATAGTAGATAGAAATAGAGTATAACGTACTCCTTTCCCCCCTCCTTCGTCGACGCAAACGGAAACTCCTCCGCCGATACCCACCCCTTATGATCTCCCCAGGCATTGGTGGCCGGAGACGCTTTCATCCCGTACTTGGCGGGATTTTTGAAGGGTTGCTTGTTGGCTGCGCTGCCGGCTTCGACTTGGCGGTTTACGTCTGCGGCGTCGGTGTCGACTTTTTGCCTGTGTTTGACATTAGCTGGTTGTTGTTGGTTTGGTTGTTTGTATGGGGAAGGGGGCTGGGTGAGGGAGAGGCATACATCACTGCGGACTTGCCCTTGCAGAGCATCGCCCAGCAATCTACGTCGTAGGTGAGGGCATCTTCGCCGCGGATCTCGATCTCGGCTTTGATGGGGTTGGATTTGGAGTCGCCTGGGTTGGAGCGTGGGTGGAGCTGGAGGGAGAGGTCGTCGGTTGTTGGGTGGGCGAGGGTGTTTGGGAGGGAGAGGAGGATGGTGAAGATGGGGAGGAGGGTTGATGAGAGGATCATTTTAAATTGGGTGTTTGGTGGTTCAGCGGGATAGGGATTTGAGGGCTTGGTGCTGCTGTGTTGGAGGGCATTGTTGCTCGTTCACTTGGTATCTTTATATCGTGTTGTGGATGCTACTCAGGGGATGGTATTGAGACTATACTAGGCTATACTACTGTGGTTTTGTCTATCTTGGGAGGCCTTATTTGGGGTCTGGTGAGATGCTTCATGGTTGATTGGGGTGTGGTTGTTGCTTGGACTGTTTGAGGGTGGAACATGTTATCTCAGAACGAGATTTTATTGATGCATAGGGGAGATGAAGACAGGGATTTGAAGTATGTTGGGGCTGGGGACACTGCTGGAGGCCTTATCATGGTCTGATGATTGACAGGGGAATTGTTGATGTTGGAAAAGCACATATGCGGTCAGCTTATCAAACATTGTGCTCTTTGATGGGATGAGGGTGGAATTGAGCTGTAGCATGATATATATGCTAGATTCGAAGTACAATGTATGGACATAATAATTTACCCGATGTGTTGGTTCAACGAAACAAGGGCATAAGGACTTATGCGGCCCTTGATATCTGATATTTCTGTTGTTATAGATGGCTAGATAGTACTAAACTGGTCCAAATCAATATCCTCAGATTGATGCCCGTTTGTAAGAGGCTGCTTACTTGGTTGGTGTAATAGTTGCCAATCATAGATCTGAATGGATTTTTCCCAAAGTACTGCCAGTACTGGCCCCTGCATAAGAGGCCCTGGCTAAAGGCTAATAGCTCAGCCCTTTCGGTGAAAATGGGGGGATTAGTAGAAACCGGCATATGCCCTACATTGGAAGATGGTGATGACTTGCTCCGCCACAGGCACTAAGAAGCTTCTACTAATCACTGCAGCGGGGTGAGCAGCCTCAAACACAACTATTTTACTGAATGTCAGTCTGACAATCTGTGAGCCTCAGTCTATCCCTATCTCTATTCTAGGTATTTAAACGGTCAAAATGAGGGATTTTTGAGCTGCTCTTTGAGTTCTGCAGTCAGCTGAGTATATAAGCAGGTACTCACGCACAGCACATGACTCTCGCGCCTATAGATGAGACAGCGGATGGGAAAAAGAAAAAATAATATAGAACAATCAACTACTCTTCAATCGTGGTCCATCTTCAATAGGTACCAAAAGAATATTAGCCAGAAGGGATCTATTTCCTTGAGTCTTGGCGGGAGGGACGATCTCATAGATCTGACAAAGTACGAGGTTGGTTAGGCAGGTGGGCGGACCCACGCCAGTATGTACGAGCCTAATACTGACTATAAGAGCCTCCTCTCATTCTTAGACCCTCAGCCTTGCTTTAAACCAACTCGCATTCGCATTCAATACCAATCTCAGTTTACCACTGCCACCTAGCAATCATGACGAGCATTTTCCTATTCTGCACCTCCGACGTGCCAGCAAGCGTATGAAAGCTCCGTCTTGTGAGACTATCAAGTACAACTGACTTCTACTGTCACTATCAGACGATCAACCAATTTATGACAGAATTCGCCGACGCCAGCGAAGACCCAAATATATTCTGTCTGGTCCGCACCCCTGACCAGGAACAATTCGATGATTGGGGCACCGAACTACCCGTGCAAGACTTCACAACAGGCTTCAAAAATGCCCCTGATTCTACTCTCCGCCTCTACACACAAAATCGAATCGATCAACTCAAGGCTGCAGGCAAGGCCGGCGGGCTATCTCCCGGGTGGCTAGCTAAGCTTGACGAGCGATCCCCGCATGACTCGACCGTGGTTCTACAGTACCGCAAGATCAAAGCCAACTGGGCTCAGGCATTGGAAGATGCTGAAGAGCAGTTTCAAATTCCCGGCCAGGCGGACGTTGATGACCAGTATATCTGGTGGAAGTGGCGTGTATCATTTGCGGATTCTTTCCAGCTGTTCAACAGCGTCGATGAGGGTATGCCGGATATGATTCGGCTGTTCACCCGACCTGAGTTTGTGGATTCGGACGGCGTGCTTCATGTAGATGTCCCCCGTCAGATCATCAAGGGGGAGATTCCGGACCCCATTACGGAGAGTGCAAGCTGAGGGTTCGCCGGTCTACCTCTCATATCAACTTGCTGCTTCTCTTAACTCTGCTCATCCCCCATACAGCCATGTAGCATAAATCGGCTATACAATTGTCAAAACATTCAAGACTCAATGGACATAGTCCGTAGTCTAAGATGGCCTTATGATAGTGGATGGTGTGACGTGACACAACTTTGTGGCTGACGTCTCAAGCCTTAAGTCAACGTAAGGCAGTGTGAATTGCCACAAACTTCATTCTTGATAACAACCAAGCAGTACCCGCGTTAGTCACTCGAATCCTCGAATTCCTTACGCCTGTAAGGAAATAGTCAGATGAGCCTCCTAATGTAAGCTGATTAAAAGGCGGTGATGATCTGCCAGCGATAGAGTCCAACTTACCTTGATAGGCAGGCGGGGAGGGCGGCCTGGTGTGGCAGTAGCCCCACCACATTCCCGATGGGGAAATAACCTAGGGGGCGGCGGATCGCATTGGAGAACGGCGGAACCCGTGCCTAAACAGTAGACAGACTCAACCACAATCAGACACATTTCAGCATATCATCATCATGGCTGACGCTCAATTCGACAGTGCGCTGTAAGTGCTGCAGTTTTGGCTTTGCTCCAAAACTATGAAGCCTGCCTAGTCTCTGGAGGCGACCGATCCACGCCATCGACCCCGCTTGCTGCCTCCCGCTGACCATCATACCTGCTTCCAGGGACCTGCTCCGGCGCCTCAACCCCCGCGATACGAAGCAAAACCTCCAGGCTATCACCTCCATCGTCCCCGATCTGACCGAGGATCTTCTCTCTTCTGTCGATCAGCCCCTAGAGATCCGCAAGTGTCCCAAGACAGACCGTGACTACCTCCTCTGTGACTACAACCGCGACGGAGATAGCTACCGGTCGCCCTGGAGCAATGAGTTCGACCCCCCGCTGGAAGATGGAACCGTGCCCAGTGAGAGAGTGAGAAAACTCGAGGTTGCCGCCAACGAGGCATTCGATGTCTACCGTGAGCTGTACTACGAGGGTGGAGTAGGCAGCGTGTACTTTTGGGACTTGGATGATGGATTCGCCGGTGTTATATTGTTGAAGAAGGGTGAGCGAATGCTGTCTTGATATTCCAGACTGGAAATGCATTCTAACATCCTGCTTTCATATAGGAGTTACGCCAGGTGCTAAAAGCTCTGGAGAATGGGACAGTATCCACGTCTTCGAGGCTACTGACAGAGCGCGCATGTCCCACTACAAGCTGACTAGCACCGTCATCCTGCACTTGGCTAATGAATCCGAGTCCCTGGGTGAGATGGACCTGAGCGGTAACATGACCCGTCAGGTGGAGGTGGATCTGCCTGTCGAGTCGGATGCGAGCCACGTCGCCAATGTTGGTCGGCTTGTTGAGGACATGGAGTTGAAGATGAGGAACTTGCTGCGTATGTCTTTCTTTTGCGGCCGTGAAGCGAGTGTTGTTACGTTACTGGGCTGATTGCTAATCGAACCGTTCTTACAGAGGAGGTATACTTCGGCAAGGCTAAGGATGTCGTGGGTGAACTTCGGAGTAAGTGCAGGCCCAATCAGCTGATGGGCAATTTCATACTAATAAACGGAACAGGTCTCCCCTCCTTGTCCGAGTCGAACAGAGATCGGGCTACCCACCTGGAGATGATCCGGTCTATGCACAGCTAGTCGTCTGTTTGTCAGTTAAGGAAGCCATTATAGCGTCGTTTTAGAGGCTGTTATTCATTTACATTTGTTGTATGTACTTCGAGCTCAAGGTTCCTGGGGATCCCAATATTACTCGTATACGATGAACTGCAGGCGTTATGTGATTGTGCGTTGTAAGTACCATTTTCTGTGATGGCCTGGCTAGCCATTCCCGCGAGCAACTCTTCATTGCATAATGCAAAATCAATTGCCAATACATTCAATAAATTTGGGTATCATAGACAGGCTGTCCGCTTAGCTCCACCTGCAACCACATGGCAAGATATGGTACAGAACTCCAGATAGTAGAGCAACCACCATATTCGCCAATTCAAGGACCAAGCCTTATCAAAATTTCGTAAATCATCCCAACATCAATGGCGTCTAATCAACCTCCATCTTCTCCTGTTCGCCCTCTGTCTTCGCTCCCGAGCTCACAGACGCCGGATTGCTAATCCGCTCCACGAACTCCCTCGCAGCAGCCCACAGCTCTGCCTCCTTATCCTTGCCCACCGTATCCTTCCGACTGTTAAGCCAACTAACATCGAGCGGGTTCGATGATGCGCCCGCTACTCCACCACTGCTCGCACCAGGTAGATTCTCCGCTCTCGACGCTGTGTCCGGCGCAAGAATAGACGCCTCTTCCAGAGCATACACCTGACGACGGAGTCGAACATCAATGGACGAAAGGAGGGCAAAGTATTGCGAAGTGGCCTCCTTGAAGCGGGCTTGGTGGGATGCGAGAGAATTGTCCGAAGGTGACTCGCCCGACCGAGCGTTGGTCAGGGCTTGAATTGCGAGACCCGCGGAATGAATTAGCTTGGCCACATCCTGTAGTGATTGGCGGCAATTAGTGAGGGTGGAATGAAGTCAATGACACAATATGAATATTGTAGTAGCGGGGATGTTGAGTATCCATCGCCAGGGAAGTAGCATTTCGGGGGTGTCGCGCGGGGAATAATCCCGGGCCTCTATTTCTTTTCTCTTAAACTTACCTTGTCTATTTCATTCAATTGCCGGATTCGATCCGCTGATGTAAAGACTTGGTCTGGCTTGCGGGTGTCCTTGACATCTGTCATTTTGTTTGCTCTTGGTTTTATTTCTTTGTTTATGTTCCAGGCTGCCAGCAGAAGGAAGTAGTCAAGTAGGAATGACAGGTAGAATTGGCGATGGAGTAACTACTCGATCTGGACCTGCAACCAACAAGCTCTGTCACGTGCCCACACAACCCGGGGAACTCTGCTTACCTCAGCCCGGGGCCCGACGCGCTAGACCCGAAGCGCGATAGTGCGATATCAGAACTTCAAAACCTCCCGTGAATACTTGCGCGCCTCGTCCTGCCGTCACCCTGCTGTTACTTGCGACTCGCCATTAATCTCGTCTCATCCGCTCGCTCCTCACTCTCTACATCTGAGGCTAAATATTGATCTGCATCTGATCGTTCAAGCGCGATGTCTGCGCCAGGCGGGGCCCCCAGCCCTGCTCCCCGAAGTGGAAGCATGGGGCCCGGTGGTGGCATGTCTATGCCTCCTCAGCAGCCCATGACCAACGCCGGGCCTGTCACTCCGGGTCCTCCTGCGCCTCCGCCGCCGCCTCCCGGAGGTCCGATGTCGCAGCAGAATCTGAATCAAATAGTAAGTCATAAGTTTAACTTCAACTGTCTATGTTTGTTGTTGGGGTGTACTATGTTTCATTGCGTCATGTGCCTGTGCCTGGACTGCGGTGTGATAGGGTGGTGTTACCCCGGTGTATGCTTTCCGCACATGGCTTGGTTATGATTATGAACTGAGTCAGTTGTGATTGTATTCAATCTTCACTAAAGGAGTATGGGAATGCCTACATTTGCTAGTCCGGGCTTCCTCTTTGTCATCTAACATTGCCTTTCATCGTGCCGAGCGTATATTGCTACTACTGCCCATCATGCTGTCACATTGTATTGTAACCGCTTGTACTAATGTTTTCCAGGTCATCGATTATCTTGCAAAGAAGGGCTATAGTCGTACGGAGGCTATGCTACGTATTGAGTCGGCACATCAAGAAATCGATGGCCGTCCTCCTATGCCCCCTCTTGGCGAAGATGCACGACCCAAATACAGGATGGGTTTTGGTAAGTCCTTTCCGGCTTTGATGATACGAAACAGTGCTAACAGTACGTAGACTTGCTCAAGGTTTGGGTTGAAGACAACTTGGATCTTTACAAGGTAAGAAGCAGAATCCTGCTCACATGTATCGGATCCATACTTACGTTCTAAAGCCTGAACTGAGACGTGTCCTCTGGCCGCTGTTCGTATACACTTTCATCAACATGGTATCTTCCTTCAAGCCGCAGGATGCCAAGCAGTTCTTTGATCTGAACAAGAACCTCTTCTTGCCTGAGCACACAGAAGATGTGCGCGCATTGGAGCCAATCAGCTTGCCAGAGCATGTGCAAGCCAATTCGACCGCCAAGCTATATCGTACAAACAAGTATCGTTTGGTTCTCAGCAACCCCGCCTTTTCGAACCTCATGCAATTCCTGGAAAGCAAGCAGAAAGAGGGTGGCTCAGATATGACTGCAATTCTAAGCAGTTATTGTACTATCATCACCAAAGAGCGTACCGCGGACGATAGATTCAGTTTCGCTGCGATGCTGGGCCAAACAGATGGTCAGACATTTCCCAGTGAAGATGAAGGCATTCCTGGTCACCATCCCGGCTCTGCATACACTGGAGACAACCCGAACATGGCGGGAACTCTGCCCAGGCTTAAGCTAGGAAAGCTCCCTCTGGAGCAAGCCCTCGAGACAGATGTTAGGGGCGAGCTGGCGGATGAGGATGCGAAAAACCCTCCAGGCCCAGGTCAGAACACTCTGATTCAAGAGTTTGACCAGATGATCAAGAAGGAAGAGGATGAAGAAGCTCCAACTCGTGCTGATATCCCCTATCCTCCGTCAACTGCTCGAGACGTGGCTATAGAGATTCAGAAGGTTAAGGAGAACCGCGACAGATTCAGGATTGAGGGCAGAACTGGTGGCGTGGGTCCCGCTGTGAGCGTCTGCATGTTCACCTTCCACAACACCTATGATGGGTAGGTAACATGGTCTCATTGGTGCTAGGTCTTGACTAACAATCAACAGAATCAACTGCTTGGACTTTTCGGATGATCTTATGCTCGTCGCAGCTGGTATGCAGGAGTCATACATCCGGGTCTGGAGCATGGATGGCAAGAAAATTCAATCGACCTACGACAACGTGGATGATACTCCACCTTCGAACTCTCGCCGTCTAATCGGACATTCCGGACCGGTCTATTCAGTGGCATTTGCACCATCGATTACCAAGACGGACAATGCCGTCGCCCCGACGAACGCGCGCTGGCTGCTTTCGTCGTCCGCAGATAAGACCATCCGTCTCTGGTCCTTGGACCTTTGGCAGTGCATGGTGGTCTATAAGGGTCACGACCAGCCGGTTTGGGACCTTCAATGGGGCCCCTACGGCCATTACTTTGTTTCTGGCGGACACGACAAGACTGCCCGCCTTTGGGTTACGGATCATATCCGCCAGCAGCGTATCTTTGTCGGGCACGACCAGGACGTTGACTGCATCTGCTTCCACCCCAACTCGGCGTACGTCTTCACTGGTAGCTCCGACCACACGGTCCGCATGTGGGCCGTTACCACGGGAAATGCAGTCCGCATGTTCACCGGACACACTGGCAACATCACTGCTCTGGCATGCAGCCGCGACGGAAAACTCCTCGCATCGGCAGATGACCAAGGATCCATCCTACTGTGGGACCTTGCTACTGGCCGACTGCTGAAGCGCATGCGCGGTCACGGAAAGGGCGGAATCTGGTCCCTGAGCTGGAGCGTCGAATCAACAGTCCTGGTCTCCGGTGGTGCTGATGGCACCGTCCGCGTGTGGGATGTGACGGGCCCGGCTCAGGACCCCTCTCAAGGCCGTGTCGTCGGCGAGGGCGGCGCAGGCACCAAGGTCGACGGCAGCAACCAGCCAGCACCCAGCACTACGCAAACCTCAAGTGCGGTCGCCCCGGGTATGGGCAAGAAGAAGGGCAAGGATGTCGTAGTGACGCCCGACCAGATCAGCGCCTTTCCTACGAAGAAGAGCCCGGTCTACAAGGTAAAGTTTACGAACATGAATTTGATCATTGCTGGGGGCGCCTATCTTCCTTGAGTGAGGGACGTGTATGCAACAGCGCCAGATACCCTTGATTCCTTTTCTTCTTTTCCGTATTGATCTATATCATTTTTCTGTTCTGCGTTTTAATACGATATCCTGTCTTTTTATCCCACATTTGTGGCAGGATAATCGGTAGCATGTGGCGTCTTTGTGGGCATTGACGGTGGGCATTGGTGTTGGTGGCGGCATTGTATTTAATTTAGGATGGAAGATCCTTATTACTAGTTACTACTTTGTATCTCAAATACTCAATACATCTACTATGAAATAGAACATATACCTCCTATGTACATCACCACTTTATACAGCATAAAATAATCTTAAACCTATATTCAACATCTAGTATAGTATACTATAGTTATATCTTCTTAAACACCCCCCCAGCACCGGCACCGGCACCAGCACCACTCCCAGCCCCCTTCTTCATCGCCGCCGAAGCCTGCAAATCCGCCACTTTAGGCGGCAAAACCAACGCACTGCGATCATTCCTCTTATAGAAATCTACCAAAATCTGCGCCGTTTTGGCCGGTTGATCCTCCTGAATGAAATGGCCTGCTTCCGGCAGGACTTGTAGTTGGTATTTACCTGCAGATACCGATATTAGCATATCATCCACCCAACACAGTTTCAAAAGTAACCTAAGTAAATAAGAGGAATAGGATTTGGAATATACGCACCCTGCATCTGCCCAATCATCAACTCCTTATCAAGACGATCCGTCCCTGCTAAGAGGAGTAACTTCCCACCACGAGCATCGAGGAACTTGCGACTTAGACCGACGAACCAGTTCTCCCAGAAGGGTTTCGTGGCGGAGAGATTGGTTCGCCAAATCCAGGGTTTGGTGGGGTCGGGTGAGTTGGGGTCTTCGTAGAGGAGGGAGGGGACGGAGACGCGGGCGGAGGTTTTGTTGCGGATTGTGCGCGAGCGGGTGCTTTACAGTTGGATTAAGTAAATGAGTGTGGAAGGGGTGTTGCTTGATCACTTACTGCCATTCTATTCCCGAAGTGATGGATGGGAAGCGCGAGGGGCGGGTCATGAGATAGGTTTCCATGCTTTGGAGGGCGTCCATGGCGGATCCTGGTCCTTGCTGTTAGTATTTTTATCCTCCTTTGCTTGTAGTTTGCTTGGTGAGATGAGGTGAAGGCCGGCTTTACCCTCTACAACGTCCAAAACTGCATATGCTAGTACTTTACTTCCCAGCTCGCCCTGTCTGGCTACATCGGTGATCACGGCACCACCTAGACTATGGCCGACAAGGACCAGATCGGGGAGACTCTCCCAGCCCATTCGGGTCTGGGTTTCGCGGACCACGAAGACGAGGTCCCGGTTTAGCGTCTCGAGGCTTAGATCTAGCTCGATGCCTTCGTCCCCGTCCTGGCCTGAGGCGTGGGTGACTGCCGTGCTGCCGTGGTCGCGTGCATCTATGGACAAGATGCCGGCTTTGGGGATGATCTTGCGGATCTCCCCGGCGCATGCGGCGAATGATAGACCGGATGAGCCGGCGCCGTGGTGCATGACGAAAAGGGGACTGGAGGAGTCTGCTGGTGGTGTGAGGTAGACATGGTGAGTGATCTTGGTGTTGTTGGATGTGTCTATTTGTGTGAGATAGAGCTCCTGGGTGAAGTAGTCTGTCCAGGGAAGGGTTGTTTGTTGGACGGATCTGATAAGTGTGTTAGTTTGGTGATCGCTAGATAGTGAATTGTGGGGGAGGGGCGGCGGTGTGAGGATATACGTACCCGCGTCCTGGCCTTGCAAACAGTTGTCTGCTGGGTGAGGGAACTATTGTCCCTGTGGACGAGGTCGAGGAAGAGTCATCGTCGTGACTGACCTCCTCGTCGAGGGGTTGCATGGACGGCCCGGTTGGCGGTTGGAGAGGCAGCTTGGCCAGTCTGGACTTGGCAAAGGATTTTTGCAGCTCGCTCATGAAGGCTGCACAGATTTACTGGGTAGGTAGGTAATGGGCTGGTGGATAGGATCAGCTCTAGGTTTGGAGGTGTGGATGTTGACATTGGAGAGGAGCTTGAGTCGGGAGTTGGAGCTGGAGCTGGCGAGTGGATCATGCGGTTGATGGAGGGGATGTCTAGTGGCGGGTGAGTAGATCTGGAGGGGAATGATAGGCGTATGTGCTATTGGCACCACTATGGTCCAGATGTAGGATCTGTAGATTGGATATGGAGTTTTTTTGTTACAGTAGAAAATGTGTCTGAAGTATATAAGAGGTCTTATAGAAAGATAAGCTGACGGAGGAATGGATTTGCTGCATACCAAGATGGCTGATACCTTACATACCGTATCGTATTGACTGATGATACTTGACGGTATTTTGCAGATCACACTTTTTATTCAGGGATCTTTCTCCCAGTGGGTCTTCGATCTTATCAACTGGGGTCTGTATAGAGTGAAATCGATTGTCTATCCACAATTATACTTTAAATTATGGTCTAGATAATATAGAACAAGTATGCACCAGGATGGGTTTCCCCACGGTGCGGCAGGTCAGCTGACCAGGCGTGTGCCTGATGGATCGACGCGCTAATTGTGTACTTCCTGCTTTTCTCTTTGTTCTTAATCTATTGATGTTTTCCCTCCGACTATACGTTCAAAGAGAAATGTCTTCTCCACCATGCACCTATGCCTTGCAATTCCAATCATGCCCATCTATTGTCTCACCTCCTTATCCTTACCATT